CTGGTCCACCACAGCAGCGTCCTCACAAGAGACCATGATCTCTGTGGCAAACTGCTCGGGCACGTCCGCCACGAAAGAGTCCGGAGAGGCCTCGACGGAGAAATCCACACGCTGGTCCACGGCAGGAGGGAATGGCTGGCCTGGGAGATGGATGGGGATGGACTCTACGCCCTCCGTGGGCGAGGCCACGGCCAGCGCCACAGCGTTGAGCGGTTCCACAATCTGAACGAGAGGCATCAGGTTCACCGCCCCGACCAGAGGGGAGGAGAGGGCATGGAGGTCCAGATCCGAGACAGAGGGCTGGGCTTCCACGTAGATCGGGGCCGAGGACAGAGCCGGGTCGATAGCTATGGCGAGAGCTTCCAGTGTGTCCGGAGTGGGGTGGGTGGCCACGGCTTGTGGCCCCTGCGAGGTCCTGTCCATGCTGTTCTCACCAATTAGCTTCTTGGCCTGTGTTTCGCATGGGGGCCTGGCAGGATTCTCCCTTTTCTGCAAGCCACCAAAGAAACAACATGTATTTGCCTCTGAAGGACAACGCAGAGGTGAGGGGGTCCAATTACCTGACCCTGCTTGGGGCAGGAGGAAGAGGTGGCTAGAAGTTCCCTTTGCATTCCCCAATGCTGCAGGAGAGCCTTATCCGGCTTCCAGGGTCAATTACAGCAGCCTCAGAGCTGCTCTAAGTTATGCTCTTTTTTTATGGACCCTGGGGAGCAGAGGATGGACACAGCACAGTGCACTCTGGCTGCCCCCTTGACACCTCCCCCCCCACCACACACACATTGCTGTGTGCTCTGGCCGTCCCCTGATCTACCCCCATGCCAGGTGTTACAGGCAGGGCCCTTACACCTGCTCTATCCCAGCTGGGGAGGCCTCTGACACAAAGTGGCTTTAGGTTTTCCAACAGGCCCGATTCTCAGGCCCCATTCCCCGGGCTTTGCAGGGACTGCCCAGATTTAAAGCGCTGTCAAAGGCCTGCCTCCGGGGTCCCTGAGTCGTCAATCCAGCCCCCTCTCCAACACCTCGCACAAGCACGCACAGTCAGACAGATCCACCTGCTCCTCCCCTCCCCCTCCTAGGTTCCAATTAGGCAATTATTTCCTCCATTGCTGTTAGCCTTCGTTAAGTCACATGACAGAGCTGTTTACTCTCAAGCTGTTTGCTCTGGGAGTGACAGACTGTCAATAGCCTCCTGAACTAGCGAGCAGGTATAGGCAGGCCACCTGGCAGTGACTAGGCCGGTTTCTGATCATCTTGCCAGATTCGCACAAGTAATAAACAGGGTGCTTTAAGCTAGCCCCAAGGGGCTCAAAGCTTCACAGTCCCCTCAGGAAACGATCAATATCATTCTTCCTATTTTGCAGATGGGACAACTAGGCTACAGAGAGGGGGAGAGACTTTTCCAAGGTCACACAGAGTCAGTAACGAAGTTGGGAATAGCACTCAGGAGCCCTGAGTCCCCATGTTCTAAGCACTGGACCCCACTCCCGGGGTTGAGAATAGAACCCAGGAGCCGAGTTCCAGTCCCTCCTGTTCTAGCCATTAGACCCCATTCCCAGGGTTGGGAATATAGCTCAGAAGCCCTTACTTTGAGTCCCTGCATACGTCTGTGCCTCAGTTTCCCCAACTTAAAAAATGGGGATAATTCCTTCCCAGAGTAAGGAATAGAGCTCAGTCCTCTACACTAGTTACTCAGCCACGCTCCCTCCCATGTCAGCTATTTTGTAAAACCCTCTCCCAAGCATCCCCCACTGAGTTCACACTGGAAAGTCCCTACATCAGTTGATGACCAGAGACTTACCAAGGGTTTTTCAGACAGTTGAAAGATGGTGGGGATAGCATCAGGCTTTAGATAGCGAACCCCCCACCTGTATTCGAAACACGACGGAGCAAAGTGCTCACTGCATAAATGCTGGTATCTGGTGGGTACCCACTTCTCTTGGTTCATCTGAGAGAGCCATTGTTGGAGCCGTTCTGGGTTATGCAAGGGAAACCTGCATGGACATCAGAAGAGGTCTTCAGTGACAACCAAACCTCACATTGTCATGGCCACATTCAGCCTCTGATCGCCAAGCAACCCACAAACATTCACTGATTTAGCTTCACAGCCCCCTTTGAGGCAGGTCTGTGTTAGGATTCCCATTTTACAGATGAGGAAACTGAGGGACAGAAAGGTGAAGAGACTTGCCCAAATTCAAGCAGTGAGTCACCAGCATAGCTAGGAAGAGGACCTAAAAGTCCTGACTCCCTGAGCACTGCTCTGGGCCCGCATTCTATCAAATATCCAAACAGATATCAGTGATTAAAGAGGTGGCAGCAGACACCAGGACTCGGCTAGCAGGGCCTGAATATCAACCCCAGGGAAGTACTAAATTCCAAATGTTTGACACCCAGCTCCTCCTCCCCCTACACCCCAGGCCAGCAGATGCATGGGCTCAGCCAGACACCAATAAAAACAGATGCAGTGACAGAATCTACTGCTCTCCAGCGCGTTTTCCTGCCCCATTCCTTACATACCCCATTTCCTTGCCCCATTCCGAAGAGTGCCTCTGACCTATTAACCATGGCTACCCCTGGTGTTGTACACATCCCTGTAACTATATGGCACCTGTCACTAAATGCTGTTAAATAAAGGGCCCGCCTTCCCTGTACAGCACCTGGCAACACCCACCACGTGGCCCATACCCATATGACAGCACTATCCTGTTACTGGGGGAGGGGAATTCCACTCCCTCCATTAACATATGTCACGTGGCGCTCACTGATATAATCATGTTGGATAAATACCCCAGTCTAATATGGTCCATGACCTGCTCCATGCACCTCACCCATGCATGGCCCACTCCCCACCCCAACGGTGCTCCCCCTCACCCCACTGCCTCCTGCCCCCTGCTGCTTCCTACCCCCCCACCTCCTGCCCTTTCCACTGGTGCTCCCCCTTCACCCCACTGCCTCCTGCCCCCCGCTGCTTCCTACCCCCCCACCTCCTGCCCTTTCCACTGGTGCTCCCCCTTCACCCCACTGCCTCCTGCCCCCCGCTGCTTCCTACCC